GTTAATAACTCTTTATCGCTTCTCTCGCGCCACACAATCTAGCACCGCATCGTTTTCTCGACCCGCTCTAATATTTAACGTTTTTAAAGGAATTTTCACAAGTTGGCCAGTTACGTGCCTTATCTCGATTCTCGTTTTTTTTTTTTTAACTTTGTTCCGCATCTCAGTCTGCTTAAATATACCGGAAGGAAAATTTCACGAGAGGAATCGTAACAATGGTTTCAAACTTCGTCACGATGAATAAAAGAATTTCCGAGGTGGTGGAAAAATGAGAGAAATCGTCTCGTCGTTCCTTATTTATGAAAAAAAGTATATGAATTTTAAGATATAGTACATAATATATTTTCAATTATTTTACTCTTTCTCTTTCTCTTCCTATTGAAACTTTAATTTCCTTCTGTTTATTCGACTCGACTATACTCGACTATCATAATCACGAAATATGAACGAGACTTTTTCCTTTATATTTTTTCTTACTTCAACTTAGTTAGTTCGACTATAAAATTAAACCGTAAAAATTTAAAAGAATTTGCATGGGGAAAAATGAGATCGTAGAAAAAATTGTATTCTCTCGTTGAAAAACTTGAGAAAGAGAGCAACGAGAGCTAAAAACGTAGCTACATTCGCAAATATTCCTGCATATTTACTCGTAAATATGTAAACACTGTGCCGCGATATATCTGTTACGTTCTTTTACGCGCAGCCCGATAAGTGGATTTTAAAAAAGGATAAATATTTAAAAATTGTTAGCCGATAGTTATTAATCGTTATTATTATCTCGCTAACATTTCAAAATGCCGCGTTATTTTTTATTTGTCCATTATTTTGATTCTGTAAATAACCGGGAAACTGGAATTATTGCAACGAAAGCTACACCGTTTCTCACGATATTAATTCACATTTTGCTATTGTTTGCGAATTATAAATGAAATTTTGCATCCTTTTTTTATCCCGTTTTTTATTTATTTATTTTTCTTTTTTATTTTTTACGCATAGAAAGCAACGATCTTATCGATGTCAGACAATTGAATACGAAAATCGAATTAACGAAGAGAAATCGCTATTAACGTCGCTATTCTCGAATCCCTCGCGCGGAATTGAGATTTCCCGCCATCCGTTTGCATTTCCAACCCTATGCAAATCGGTAGCCGGTGTCGCGTGTCGTTTCAGATATCGGGTTCAAAACACCGTTGTTCGTTAATTTGCAACGTATCGTAGTGTTTATTAGCCATGAAACTTATCAACGGTTGATGTTGATTTCAACCGAGCTTATTTCTTCTTTTATTTTTCCTTCTCTTTCTCTCCTTCTCCCTCTCGCTTTCCTTTTCCCGCCAAGAGATAAGAAAGCAACGTTCTATCATTGTAATAACGCTCGCCTCGCGTATCGTGCCTTTTTCTCTCTCTTTTTTTTTTTTTTCGTTCTCCACGACGGATCAATTTCCAGTCTGACTGGTTTCAACCGAGGAAAAGAACTGCGCAAAAAAAGAAGCTCATTACACTTGCCGTCGATCGATATTCTCCCCCGCGCCATCGAAAAAGTCTTCGTTTTTTCAATCCAACCGACGACAAGATCACGAAAATCAGCGGATTTTTAATCGCTCGATAAACCAGTCCACGGATGAAAACGAGCCCGTTCGAGTTTAATCGATGTCTAGCCGAGAGATTTTTTAAAAAAGATTTTAAAAAAAAAAAAAAATTGCGATTACATCGTAAAGTGGGGTCTGGTTTCGACATGTTCTTGAGGGGATCGTAAAGAGATCGGGGAACGAAACGAAGGAACGGAATGGAAAAAGTCAAGGAATTTCGAGGATGGGTAAAAATTTGGATGGAAGATTTATTATAGATTCGAGGATAAAATTGGTATGTCAACATTTACACATTTATACATTTTGTTATTCACAAGCGTTTGTTTGCGTTTCATAGCATAGTAACGTTTTCAATATTCGATATCCCCGAATTCGATAGGATATTTCCACCTCTGTCATCGTATATTCCCGATTCTCTTTCTCTCCGTGAAGGAATTACACTCAATTTACCCGACTGGAAAATATATTTTTCCAGAAGTTTTAAAAACAACAACGAGTGCACACAATAATACTTATTCGACGATTGTTGAAACAGTGTTGTACGATATCTCTAAGCGTAAATTGAGTGCGATTCCAATTTTCAATTTTATATTAAAAAAAAAAAAAAAAAAAAAAAAATAACCAATCTGGAGCTTTCTCGTATATAAATAACTCTTCGGGATTGGTGTTACACGATTTTTAAACCGACAAATTAGAAGGGAGCACGCGAGACTCGTTTTGATAACACGTTCGCGCTCGATCGTCGTAACGATGTGTCCGCGTATCAACACTCGGACCCTAACCCTCTATGCTTGACAGAAACTAATTTGCACGTAAGCTGCACGATGAATCTTATCGAGTCACGAGTATGAAAGAGTGATTAATCCCTTGCCTTACGATTTAAATTGCAATAGCGCGTGCCATAAACAACAACAATGTCGGTCACACCATTTCACAGTTTTGCTCGACGAACGTTCGAAGTTGCGCGATATCTTTTGATATGTAAATGCACGTACAACTTATTTTATTTTGTTTAATATAAATAATTACAACCGAGCGATCATTGAACGAGAAAGATTTATTATCATGAAGTATAATAATAAATCATAAAATAACGTTTTTATTACAATTTATAAATAAACATATATTTTAAATTATTAATATCTTGATAGAATGATTTTCGTTTTTTAGAAGTATATTGGTACGTTTTATGCCAGGAATCTCCGTTATAGTTATAGTTCCAGATTTTTAGTTCATTAATTTCTTCTTTCCAAATCCATTGCTCTGATTGATAATTATCGTAGTCTTCTATAATAAATCGCTTACGTTTTCGTAGAGGAAGTAAAATATCACTATTTAAAATATCTATCAAATCACTTTTTCAAAACGATATTAACAGAACTTTTAACAACGCTTAATATTCTTTTTGACGATATTTTTAAGGATATCTTTCTATTTTTCAAGAAAATATATCTGCACGTCCGAAAATGCGGCCAAGAAAATTAGTAAGTGTTTGTCGCGTGTAGTTCGACCACGCGTATTGTTCATGTTTGGTCCGATCCTCGTACTACGTCTCTCGCACGATATTATAGGTTAAGGCTTTTTTAAAATTGATTGCACGGCGTACCTCTATCTGTCCAATCGGATAAACGGAACGAGACGAGAGATCGTTCGATAACGATATTCAAGTCGATCTTCTGTCGTGGTCTCGCTCGTCAATTTCAACGGATCGTCGTTCACTCTCGAAAAATTGAAACGTACACCTCGATACCAGATGGCTGCTCGAGCGTACCTGCTACAAACTCTCAAGGTCTTTGCCTGTGTCGCGCGGATCGGTCGAAACGTAAACAACTCATCGGTATTAACTCGACGCCTCGTAAACTGTTTGTCGACCGAGGGTAACTTTGCTTAACTATTGTTCCAAGCTTGAGAACGGTGTTGCAAATGTTCCGCCATAATACGTACCTGGTAACCAATCGATATTTTAAGATCGAATTTGAAACGCTTGGAATAATAAGTAAAATCCATCTAGCGTTAAAATTGTAACTCGAAAAAATATATATTTTTCGCAGCAACGAAATGCTGTATCGTTGGTCAGGCTTTGCGCATCGATGGGGAAAATTTAATGGGTAAAGTTAAGAATAAAGTTACTTCGATAATTTATCGTTCAAAACGTAACGATGATCGTTACGAATAATCGTAATTGGGAAACGGCCGAAATTATAGAGAAAAGCGGATCGACCGCGTGGATATCTGTCGAATAAATGTTATTTCGATAAGTGATTACTTAAAGTATCGTTTTATTCGAAATTTTTAATTTAGTTACTATTTCAACGGATTAATTGCCCAAATTTTACGATACTCGAGATCGGATGTTTTACGAACCTACCTTATTTTTCCAAACATTTTCATTTCACGTGTATTCACCTTCTTTCTTTTTCTTTCTTTTTTTTTTTTATATATAAATATATCGAAATAATGAGAGGGGAAAACAAGCGGAAATTAAACGTTTTTTTTTTTTTCTTTTTAATCGATCTTCCATTATTAATCATATATTTTGCCAGAGCAAAAAGCTCGTTCCCCGAAGCTTCCCCTTAATATTCTTATTACGCGATGAAAACGCGTGCTGGAAACAACGATCGATCGCGGGGGAAATAACGATGCGAATTCAGGCGCGATAGTCGAAAAGGCTGTTTTGAATTTCGATTAATTGCGGGGAACTGTGCAGAGGCGCCAGTGTGTTGGTAACGCATCGCGTCCAACTTCTGTTGTCGCTAATTATCGTTGATTGTCAGCCGCCGATAATTACGATTAAACCGGCCCCCCGCTTTCATCGCTATTTTGAAATGCTTGTTCGGTCGGGCGAATAAAGTGTCACGGTAAATTTGCACTTTTTCGTAATTACGATCCGTTTCACTTTTTTATCATCACCGATGTCGAGTCGACGGCTGCTCGCCAAACGGGCCAAGATTTCGTAAATATTTTCACGCCGTTTGGACGCGATCAATTTTTCCTTTCTCCTTCCCCTTCTCCTTCTTCTCTGTTTCTCTCTCTCTTTCTCTCTCTCTCTATCTTCCCCCTCCCATTCCAACGTTCGGCGTCCATACACACACACGCGTCCGACGCGTGAACGAATGAAGTTACGTACGGTTCGTTGGTCGAAACAAACGAACGTCCGTCCAAACGATATTTCCACTATCTGCGAATAAATAAATTCTCCGTGTTCCGGCGCTAACACAACCTCGATATATTTTTTTTTTTTTGAACGATTTTTGATCCCGCAAAATTTCAAGTTTCTTCATTCACGCGCGACTCTCCCCTCCCTCCCCTCCCTCCCCACCCATCATTCGCGACTCGGGCGTGCGGTACAATTCGGATTCCGGACAGCGCGTGTTCATATCTCGATCTCACCATCTCGTGCGATCGGTTGACGAGATGAGCCGAAAAATAAGGCCGAGGATCGGGAGAAGATCGGGGAACAGAAAGGGGCGAAAAGTGTTGCCTACGAAAATCGCGGCGTTGGTCGTCTCCGCTATACAGGATCTACGAGAGACGAAGGGGTCCACGCCTAGCAAAATTATCGGTTATATCAGTTACGTGTCTGAAATGAACGATGATAAGGTTAAACGGCAAGTGAGTGATACATTGTCATCGGAGATGATTATCAAATCTCTCTGAATTATTCGCCAATTATTCCGAATTATCCGATAGGGTATGTAAAGGTACTTCGATTATTGTGTTCCTCCTTGCGCGAAAATCGCCCGTTCGGATAAAAAAAGTAAACAGGTTGGATCGCTCGTCGTTGTGTTCCGTTTCGTTTGCATTTTATCATCCTTCTAACGTTGAAATCGAAAAGCGTTCGAATTCGCGAATTCGAATTAGAATTTCGAATTTTATTTATAAAAATTTGTTTTCGCGAGTATTTAATCTCTCGTTATTCTCTCTCTCTCTCTCTCTCTCTCTCTCTCTCTCTCTCTCTCTCTCTCTCTCTCTAATGTAATGTTATATTAATAATATAATGTAATGTAATGTTATATTACGCGTATTTTATATATATATATATTAATATTAAAATATAAATATTTAATTTTAATTCGATTTTTATCGGGTTAAGCTTCGAAAACTTGCTTGATCTTCGGCGGTGAATGGACAATTGCAGGTGAAGGCAGTTCTGAAAAGGGGATTGGAATATGGGATACTGAAAAAATACAGAAGGCAGTATTATCTTCCCACTAGTAACGAGTTAAACCGTGCTAATCGCATCGCATTGAGATTCGCCAAATTACCCTTGCCTTCCACGTATCAGACGAAATCGAGCCTCTACTCGTTGAAAAGCAAAAGGAGAAATTCGAGGAAATCCGGCGTGAAATCTTCCCGAAAGGAGAAACAACTGGCGGATTTTTCGTCCACCCTAATCTCACCCACCGTCAGCTTGGCGAATACAATTTGCAACGTTGACGACTTGTGAACGATATCCACTCTAATTTATTATATTATATTATAATATATTTAGTGAAATATATTTAGTGACTCCCCCCTCCCCCTCCATATGATCAAAATTGAAGTTGTCGACGGACACAATCGTGATCGAATTG